GAACCCTTTGTGTGGCAACTGATTTGTACACATGAAAGAATGTGCTACTCTCAGTAAAGCAAGGCTGGTATTTTATTAAAGGGTAATGGAAATAGTTTGGGCTTGGGAATTGAGATTAGGCTGTACAGCAGCTAGATGTGTGGGAAACTGACTTCTTCCCCCTGTGTGATAAAAAGGAATCACGAAACAAGCATTGAGCTATAAATAAATCATTTATTTTAAAACAATACAGGTTAATAAATAGATTAGTTATCATAAAACTTAATAAATAGCCTTTTATAATTTACAGGCAAATACAACATGCCTATAACTATTTGTTAAAAAGCAAAGAGAGTAAGCTTGACTTGTAAGCAATTAACAAATCTATATATACATTATTTGGAAGCTAATAAAATAAACCATTTTTGTGTAATCTGTAGTAACTATATTGCAATAGCATTGAAGCAACCAAACCCAGCACTGCATGTTTGTTGCCATCTGCCTTTCCCCCATATGCCATTAGTACTATTTTTTACATCCCAGGGGGAGGGGGGAAAAAAAAAGAAAAAAAAGAAAAAAAAAAAGCTCCACAGTTGAAGAAGGATTTAACTTAAAAATACTCCTCTTGAGTAATATTTTCTGCTCTGTAGAGCAACTGTTGGGGTGGGACAGGACCAAACAACAAAAAAAACCCAACAAACCTTACTTGCAGCTTTTAAAAATGATTTCTTAATCCATGACATTTCAACAGTGCTGTCTTGGGCACTAGTAATAATAACTGTTGACATAATTGGTGCCTAACATGGTACATATGAAATTCTGCATCACTTAAGCCCATATTCAATAGCACCAAAGAATTATTACAAAGACTAGTATCTGTAAATAAAAGATAACAGGTAATAGATAAACCTTTGCTAACATTTGATTTAATAGCAAAGCTTCAGCAGCTACACCATCTCAAGACGACTGAGGAATATTTGTAGAATCCTTGATGCTTTGTAATTATGAAACAAGGTGAGGAGGGTATAACGTGCAAACAATGGCCCATTTTAAGCACCCCATATTTAATAACTCCAAATCTGTCTGCAAATACAAATCCTCTATTTTTAAACAAAAAGGAAAGCTAAACCTCAGATCCTAGTATTTCAACAAATAAAATCCAGTGTTTTCATTTTTCAGCACTAGTTACTTCAGAAAAATACAGATGTTCGATATAAACTCCAATTATTAATAGGAAGCTTCACTTGTCAAACTGTGATATGACAGGTTCTTAATAATGTTAGTTGCAGCTCACTAGTAAATAGGCTCTATTTACAGATACAGAGTCCTGGAAAGTCAATACAGCAGATAACTTGTTTAGACATTTTTTGTCTTTACCTAAGTATTTAAGGTGTAACAAATTTTGTTGTTGTTGTATCAAAAATGTTTCTATTATCCTACTGAGTATTTGAGGGGTTTTTTGTGTTTGACACCTAACAGAGATCGTGACTGACACATGTAAATCCTCCATACATTGAAGGGATAATGATCAAAGAGCTATCTTCAAGTGAGTACCAAGTAAATAGGTTTGACAAGTGTAGAAGCCAGCCTTACAAAGCAGAACACCTCTCATATGGATCTGAATTCAATTCCAATGCATCCCACCACGGAAGTGAGTCTACTTTTTGTACGTGTAACCTCTCCCTCTTCTACTTTGGAACTGGAACTGAAGTCATCTGGTTTGTAGCTACTGATAGTATCTAATGCAAGAAGAGCATGACAAGGGCAGACCTGTGAGGGACACTAAAGCTCAGGAGACAACTATGCACATTTGCTCCCTGAGATGATGGAACTCAGCTATCTGTCTTACTCAAAGTGCTAAAATGGCTAAAATTCAACAGTGCCTCCTTCTAAATCAGAAAATCAATGGGATTAAAAAAGGTAGGACACCTAGAACAAGGAGGCTGTGGGATGGAGGGGTTAAGAATCACACCAACAACAACAACATAAAACGCTAATCAATTTCTGAAGTTAGAACTGAACCAGATCCAGGTACAGCAGAACTCAAAGAACACTGCTGCATACTGAACAAAGTAGCAAAAATAAATGTTTCCATTATTTAGTGTTCATGATGCAAAAGGCTGCAGATATAAACAATGTGCAAGGCCACGGGAATTTCCTTCACCTTATGTGCTGGCTTTTGACATCTCTGTTTTAAACCAGGTTAACTTAGACACCTCTAGAAAGCTCATCACCGATGAGGAGCAGCTGGGGAGAAGGAACCTATGCAGACATTTACCAGCTGTAAGGGTGGTCAGAGGACCACAGAACACAACTGCTTCTTTATTTGTACTCTGCATAGTGAGTGCTTATCGAGTAAACTTGTGTGTGTGTGGCACAGAAAATGGCAAGGTTTAGACAGGGCAGTCAAGTTATTTTGGATCTAATATTTACTAGTAATTTGCATACACACCTAACATACCAAGATAGGCACTTCCTAAATAAACAGGAATGAATTTTAAAACAAGACAAATACAGCCAAAGGAGGACTAAGATGAAACCACAATCATTTCCATTTTAACCTACAAGATTTTTCACAGAGGTCTTCAGACAGCAAAGGCTAGTACAAAAACAACACAGAACTCATGAACGCTGGCCTTGAATTTTGAAAAGGTAACTTGACTGCTTCAGAAAACAGCTAACATTTTAAAAAGGAGGTCAGTACAGGTCTCATAACCTACGTAAAATCCTGTTTCAACCAGAAAAAGGGAAGTAATATGACAGAACAAAACTGCTGACAACCAAGATACCATCTTCCAATCAGTAATAAAGAGAGGTTCATTTTAACAGCTTTCATAGTCCAGCTCCCCTCATCCTCAATTCTCAGACTTTCTAGAAACCCTACACAGTATTTGAAAATCCATGAGGTTGGCCTTTTCTTTGCTAGTGCTACTTTATTTCACTAAGTTTCACCCAGTTTCCTTGCTGGACCATAACAATGTGCATTTCTGCCAACTCAGACTCGCTCCACCCAGGCTGAAGTTCTAAAACAAAGTTCCAAATAATACAGTGGGGCTCCTACTCCCTCAGCAAGGAACAGTCCCTTCAGAATACTAAATCTTTAGGATCCTCTGCTCACAATTAGTGCTACCATCAGAAGGGCTTCTAACATTTCTCTTAAATGAAAACAGAGGCTGAGTTCTAAGGTAACATTAATTCAGGTCAACAAAAAAAGTCAGGAGAGAGGACAGTATTGCACCCTATTAATCAACATCCACATTCCTGACAGCCAGCCACAAAGCCACATTCATGATTTCTTGATAAAGTGTCATGAACTTTTTCAAATGCTGTCTCATAATCACCTTGGGTTTTTTTATTTGTTTCCAGAGACCTGCTGA